ACTGGGGGACTTCAACTCCCAGAATTCCTCAGCCAGCGTGGGGGAATTATGGCCCCTTCCTGACTCGCGGACTTCGACTCCCAGAATTCCTCAGCCAGCATAGGGGAACTATGGCTCCTTCATGACTCGTGGACTTCAACTCCCAGAATTCCTCAGCCAGCGTGGGGGAACTACGGCCCCCTCATGACTCGTGGACTTCAACTCCCAGAATTTCTCAGCCACCATGGGGGAACTTCGGTCCCTTCATGACTCGTGGACTTCAACTCCCAGAATTCCTCAGCCAGCGTGGGGGAACTATGGCCCCTTCATGACTGGGGGACTTCAACTCCCAGAATTTCTCAGCCACCATGGGGGAACTTCGGTCCCTTCATGACTCGTGGACTTCAACTCCCAGAATTCCTCAGCCAGCATAGGGGAACTATGGCTCCTTCATGACTCGTGGACTTCAACTCCCAGAATTCCTCAGCCAGCGTGGGGGAACTATGGCCCCTTCATGACTTGTGGACTTCAACTCCCAGAATTCCTGAGCCAGCCTGGCTCAGCTTGGAAACCTCTCCCCTTCCCCTCAGCACGGCTGGCTCAGGAATTCTGGGAGTTGAAGTCCACCAGTCCTAAAAGAGCCAAGGTTGCCTACCCCTGCCCTAGTGAAAGTCAGGACCTTCCCCCTCTTAGACAACCGGACAGTCCTTGTCTCTTACGTTTGGGTCACGTTGAACTTGAGGTCGGTGACGTCATCCGAGTGTTTTCCATCAATGACCCACCAGACCTCCTGGGGAGAGTCCTCCAGGAACGTGAAAATCACCTCACAACTGAGATCCAATTCTTCACCTACGGGAGAAAGAACAGGAAGGGGATCCCTCGTAAGGCCCACCTGGAATCGGAACCCCCTTCTGAAAGAGGTCCTCCTGGATCAGACTGGCATCTCCGAGGAGGATGGGATGACCCCGTCCCATTCCCAACCCAGGCACCCAATGAAGGGAGTTTGCTGCCCCCTCAGCTTCAGAGGTTCCTGGAGATCAATCCGTCAGAATAGAGCTGGAAGGCACCCTTAGAGGTCTTCTAGTCCAACCCCCTGCTCAAGCAGGAGACCCTACACCATTTCAGACAAGTGGCGGTCCAGTCTCTGTTATCCAGTCTCTGTTATCCCAGTTATTTAAAACTTGGAAATTATAAATATGAAACGTTAAATTTAAATATTAAATAATATTAAATAATAATAATAATAATAATAATAATAATAATAATGATGATGATGATGATGATGATGATGATGATGATGATGATGATGATGATGATGATGATGATGATGATGATGATGGAAGGGACCTTGGAGGTCATCTAGTCCAACCCCCTGCTCAGGCAGGTAAACCTACACCATTTCGGACAAATGGCTGTCCAGTCTCTTCTTCAAAACCTCCAGTGAGGGAGCGCCCACAATTTCTGGAGGCAAGCAGTTCCACTGGTGAATTGTTCTAACTGTCAGGAAGCTTCTCCTTAGTTCCAGGTTGCTTCTCTCCTTGATGAGTTTCCATCCGTTGCTTCTTCTCCTGCCTTCAGGGGCTTTGGAGAACAGCTTGACTCCCTCTTCTTTGGGGCAGCCCCTGAGATATTGGAATAACTGCTATCATGTCACCCCTCGTCCTTTTTTTCATTAAACTAGACATACTCAATGCCAGCAACCGTTCTAATGGTCAGGAAATTCCTCCTTAGTTCTAGGTTGCTTCTCTCCTTGATGAGTTTCCATCCGTTGCTTCTCGTCCTGTCTTCAGGTGCTTTGGAGAAGAGCTTGACCCCCCCTTCTTTGTGGCAGCCCCTCAAATACTGGAATACTGCTATCATGTCACCCCAAGTCCTTCTCTTCATTAAACTAGACATACCCAAATTCTGAAACCGTTCACCAGCCGGGGCCTGGGAGAAAGAGGAACTGCTGGGTGGCAACAATTGGAAGGGAGAGGGAGGAAGGATCCTGATGGAAGGACTGAACCCCTAAATCTGCAGAGGCATCCTAAGATTTTAGGAAAGACCCTCCCCCCCCCCTTGCAATCCAGCTTTATAAGGCGGAGGCTGACCTGGAGAGCTAGGAAATGGCATAGGATCTCCTGCTTGAGCAGGGGGTTGGACTAGAAGACCTCCAAGGTCCCTTCCAGCTCTATCCTGAGTTGAAATTGAATTGAACTTGGATCTGATGAACAGGTGGACCATTACCTGGCTTGAGTTGATAGACGATCCGCTTTGTTGGGAAGATGATCACGGGGGGCGTTGATTTTTCCAGTGATCCTAGAAAATGAGTTTAAAAAATAAATAAAGTCAACAAAAGAGGTGTGCGGAATTCATTTCGTTCTGTAGCTTCCGTTATCTGTTCAGTCAGCGTTTCTCAACCTTGGCAGCTTGAGGAAGGGTAGACTTCACTTCCCAGAATCCCCTGGCAGTCATGTGTTCCTTTTGATATGTAAGCTCATTGTGGCTTGCTTATTCTCTTGTCATCCCTTCCTCTGCAGTCTCTCTGCTCTAGGAGTTGGGTTTTTTTCCCAGGTGCTCTGCATTCCTTCTTCTCTGCTACCACCTCTTCTGCTTCTCCTTCTCCTCTTGGCTATTTCTTCTCTTTCATACCTCCAACTGTTTCTCTCTCTTTCTCTCTTCCCTGGACTGCATTGCCTCTCATCCTCAACATCTGTCTGGAGCCCTAACCCTAACCCTCCCCATCTCCCCAATTTCTTTGGGGCCTTCTCTATTTTAATCTTTAGGACAGTATTTCTCTCAAGCGTAGCAGCTTAAGATCGGTGGACTTCAACTGCCAGACTCCCTCAGCCAGCATGTGTGAACTTCATCACCCAGAGTCCCCAAGCCAACCTGTGTGCAATTCCCATAATTCCCTGCATTCCTGTTGATGTGTATCCCCATTGTGGCCTGCTTACTCTCTTGTCATCCCTTCCTCTGCAGTCTCTCCGCTCTAGGGGAATAGGAGGGGAAAAATCTGGCGTGGCTTACTGGGGGAATTCTAAGAGTGGAGGTCCACCCATCTTCAAGCAGCCAATCTTGAGAAACACTGCTTTAGATCCAGCGGTTGAACACATCTGGGTACTGGATGAGTTAAAAGATGGGATACACATCTTTCCGTGTCTCCGTTCACTGTTTCCTGGGGGCATCCATAGTTTTAGGCTGAACTCCAGGAATTCTAGTCACTGGGCAGGTCAAAAACCCTACACTTGAGTTGAGCTCAAGTGAAGGACCACATCCAGCCACGTTCTCCTACCACTAGACTTTGCTGCCTCAGCACGTTCTCAACACCAGCCACCCTACACAACTGCAATCCAAAAAGGATAAGAACTGTCCAAATATACCCCGAGGTTGCTGCAGGCTGTGCATCTTTGCTACTACGGGACCCCGAGGTTGCTGCAGGCTGTGCATCTTTGCTACTACGGGGACCCCGAGGTTGCTGCAGGCTGTGCATCTTTGCTACTACGGGGAGCCCACTAAACAGGCTTGCAGAAAAACCAAAGCAGGGACCTCGGTGGAACGCCAGACGTCAAGTTTCCCAAGGCTGCCAGTTCTTTTATTGGCTCCTTGGCACCCAACGGGCAGAGAAGGGAGAGGATGGCCTTGAAGAAGAGAGGGGAGAACCGTTACCAAAGAGATGAGAGGGAAAATAATGTCGATGAAGTCAGGGAACGCGTGTGCGAATGTCTCCGACAGACGCCTCTCTAATTCATGCGGTTATAAAAATAATATAGATATATAAAAAAAAAATCCTGTTTTGTAAGCATCCCTTCAAGGGGGCTGGATTGGCGCATCCGGGCTGAGATTTTTCAACTGCCTGGTGCTAAATATTTCTGCAGGGCAGCTTAGCAACCGAGGAGGCAAAGTTGCCACGACACCCCCAGACACAAGCAACTCTTCTGCCAGCTGGGAGGCGCCAGATGTGAAGGGAGCCGGAGGGCATCAGGATGGGGAAGTGGGCAGGGAGGCTGGCAACAAAGGCATAGCTCAAACCAAATCAAGTCGGGATTTGAAAGCAGAGGAGGTTTTACTGGGTGTGCCTCGGGTGACTCACAGTTGATTTGTGTTTCCGCCAAAAAAAAAAAAAGTGGTCTACAACCGTCAGGATAACACGGCCCATGTTCCTGACCCTGTCTGCTTTGCCCAGATAAGAGGAAGTTTAATTTCTGTGCCCAGATGTGATGTCCAACACCTCCCCTCTCTCCTCAAATGCAACACAAAGCAAAGCATCTTTGCAAACCATTCCACCCGTTAGAACACAACTTGCCAGCAGGCAAATTGCACACCCAGGAAAACACAACAGCTGTTGTCATGCTTTCAACAAGGTTCAAAGCATCGGTGATCGTTCGAGATCCTGGCTTATGGGTCCCAGTTTCCCCACCCGCGTCAGCCAATAAGAGGCAAAGAGTTTTCTTATCCTAGTACTTAAAGCACCCGTTGAGAAGGCAGGGGGGGTCATGAGTTCTAGTCCTGCCTGAAGCATGAATAGCAGAATAACAGCGTTGGAAGGGACCTTGGAGGTCTTCCAGTCAAACCTGCTGCCCAAGATCATGGAATCATAGAATCTTAGGGCTGGAAGGGACCTAGGAGGTCAACCAGCTGCCCAAGATCATAGAATCCTAGGGCTGGAAGGGACCTTGGAGGTCTTCCAGTCAAACCTGCTGCCCAAGATCATGGAATACTAGGGCTGGAAGGGACCTTGGAGGTCAACCTGCTGCCCAAGATCATAAAATCCTAGGGCTGGAAGGGACCTTGGAGGTCTTCTAGCCCAACCCAAAGGCAGAATAAGAATAAACAAACAATTGTGCCGGGAGGGACATTTAAAACTTCCCAGAGTCGCATTATAAGGGGGATGGGCGTCATAAAAAAATTAATAAATGGATAAAAATTAAAGGTGGGAGACCAAGAACCTGCCTCCAGAAGCTGTGAAGGCTCCAACACTGGAGGATTTTAAGAGACTGGACAGCCATTTGTCTGAAATGGTATAGGGTTTCCTTGCCTGAGCAGGGGGTTGGACTAGATGACCTCCAAGGTCCCTTACAACTCTGTCATTTAGTTATTTGCTTCTGACGGTCAAATTATGGGAACCCCAGCCTGTCACTCTCGGGCTGGAGAGAAGCTGATGCTGACCTGGAGCAAGGCTGAGCCTTAAGCAGTGGCCCCCTCACCCCCACCTCCACCTCACCCCCCCCTTGCCTTTCTCCTGGATCAGGTGTCTCCAGTCTGAGCTTCTTGAGGATGGGTGGACTTCAACTCCCAGAATTCCCTAGCCTGATTTTTTTTTTCCCTCCCATCTGCTAGAACGGAGAGAGATTGCAGAGGAAGGGATTGCAAGAGAATAAGGCCACATTGAGGATACACATCAAAAAAGAATGCATTGCTGTCCAGGAATTCTGAGAATTGACACCCAAAAGTCTTTTAATCTTTTTTATTTTTATTAACTTTTTCCTTTATACAGTACATATTCAGCAGACTATGTCATTTTTATATACTATGGATCTACATTCTATGCAATATATACACTATGTCAGTGTTTCTCAACCTTGACAATTTTAAGGCGTGTGGACTTCAACTCCCAGAATTCCATAGCCAGCAATGCTGGCTGTGGAATTCTGGGAGTTGAAGTCCACATGCCTTAAAATTGTCAAGGTTAAGAAACACTGCACTATGTACATTCAATCTAACCCACAATAACCTAATTTGCACAATAACCTTATGTATATTTCCAATTTTTGTTTCTATTGTCTATCCAAAATATACCAATTTTCCCAAACCACATAAAATTCCGAACCATCTTTTTCTTTTAATTCTAAGCTGAGTTTGTCCATCTCAGCACATTCATAAATTTTCTGAATAATCAACCCTTCTGGTGGTCAATTGCGTTCCTTCCAATATTGCGCGAATGCAATTCTTGCCGCAGTTAGTATTATGTAAAATCAGATATCTTATTTTCTTCTCAAATTTCTTTTTAAAGTATTCCCAGGAGAAATGGACGTCCACAAGTCTTAAAAGTGCCCAGGTTTGAAAAACTCCTGTCCTACCCTTCTCCTTACCTACCACCTTGACTCTCATCGTCCGCGTCAGAGTAAAATCCCGACTGTTCTCCCGGTAACTCGCCACGCAGGTGTACTCGCCCTCGTATACTTCGTAGACAATGGCAAAAGTGAGGTTGACGCCATTGGGGATCCGATCAGGATAGTCGTATTTCATGAGATGGCACTCCTGGAACAGAGAGAGGATTGCAAACACACACAATAATATAAATACTAAGTGTGGAAATAAAAGAAATCCTGGCTATTAAATTTGAGATTCTAAGATACTGGAGAATTACTAGAAAAACAAGAATATGACTTCGTATTATGAATTGGTTGAGGCAGACGGTGAGAATCCTGTATACATCAGGGGTGTATCTGGAACTTTAGACTGTGGGGGAACCGTGGTAGACATTGGGGGTCATTGAAAATTGGGAAATGAAAATGATTAAATGTTAAATTTAAAATCTGAATGGAAAATTAATAAATTAAAAAAAAAAATATTAGGACATTGGCTGTCTAAAACAGGGGTAGTCAACCTTGGCTCTTTTATGACTCGTGGACTTCAACTCCCAGAATTCCTGAGCCAGCCATGCTGAGGGGACAGGGAGAGGTTTCCAAGCTGAGCCATGCCGCCTCAGGAATTCTGGGAGTTGAAGTCCATGAGTCATGAAGGGGCCATAGTTCCCTCATGCTGGCTCAGGAATTCTGGGAGTTGAAGTCCACGAATCATGAAGGGAGTTGAAGTCCACGAATCATGAAGGGGCCAAAGTTTCCCCCATGCTGGCTCAGGAATTCTCATAAAAGAGCCAAGGTTGACTACCCCTGGTCTAAAAGATGGAATGTTAAATTAATTAAGATATGTACAAACTGAAGATTATTGACGAATGCTGGAGAGTTATCTTCTGTTTGATTGATAGAATAAGAATTGTGTTGGTTTGAATATGAGACAGTATATACCGTATTACAGGGGAAAGAGAGGGAATTAGCGGTCGTAATATTTCGAGATTTGTGTTGATGAGATTTAAATGTAATGGAATTGTTGTACTCGGCTGCCACGTTGCTTTTCAAATATATTAGAAAATTAATAAAAAATAAAAATAAAAAAACCCGAAGCAACTGATATATCAGATGAAGCAGGATAGGTAAAGACTGAACGGCAGCGTTCCCACGAAAGAAGAAGCTTATATTCTGATTAAACCCTGATCGGTTTCATGTCGGCTAGCAGGAGGCGCGAAACTAAGTCGGGCCTCCAGATTCAAGCAACTACACAACTCTGTAACAACAGAATACAGGGAGTCCTCAACTTACGGCAACCACAGCAGAGCCTGGAATATCCATTGCTAAGCAAGCCAGATGTTCAGTGAGTTTTACTCCATTTTACAACCTTTTGTGTTAAGTGAATCACTGGGGTTCTGAAGTTAGCTACACAGCTGTTAAGTGAACTTGGTTTCCTCACTGACTTGTCAGAAGGGCCCAAAAGGGATCAGGTGACCCCGGGGACGCTGCGACCGTCGTAAATATGAATCGGTGGCCAAGCATCCGAATTTTGATCACGTGACTATGGGAATGCCGCAATGGTCGTTAAACTTGGCAACTGGCATGTACTTGTGACAGTTGTAGTGTCCCACCCCCTGCTCAAGCAGGAGACCCCAGCCCAGGGGTAGGCAACCTTGGCTCTTTTATGACTCGCGGACTTCAACTCCCAGAATTCCTGAGCCAGCATGGGGGAACTATGGCCCCTTCATGACTCGCGGACTTCAACTCCCAGAATTCCTCAGCCAGCGTGGGGGAACTATGGCTCCTTCATGACTCATGGACTTCAACTCCCAGAATTCCTCAGCCAGCCTGGCTCAGGTTGGAAACCTCTCCCTTTCCCCTCAGCATGGTTGGCTTAGGAATTCTGGGAGTTGAAGTCCACGAGTCATAAAAGAGCCAAGGTTGCCTACCCCTGCCCTAGACCACTCCAGACAAGTGGCTGTCCAGTCTCTTCTTGAAAACCTCCAGTGTCAGAGCACCCACAACTTCTGGTGGCAAGCAGTTCCACTGGTTAATTGTCCTCTCTGTCAGGAAATCCCTCCTTAGTTCCAGGTTGCTTCTCTCCTTGATGAGTTTCCATCCGTTGCTTCTTGTCCTGCCTTCAGGCGCTTTGGAGAATAGCTTGACTCCCTCTTCTTTGGGGCAGCCCCTCAAATACTGGAATAACTGCTATGTCACCCCAAATCCTTCTTTTCATTAAAAAGAAATAATCAGAATAAAGCTGAAAGGGACCTCGGAGGCCTTCTAGTCCAACCCCCTGCTCAAGCAGGAGACCCTAAACCACTCCAGACAAGCGGCTGTCCAGCCTCTTCTTGAAAACGTCCAGTGTCAGAGCACCCACAACTTCTGGTGGCAAGCAGTTCCACTGGTTAATTGTCCTCCCTGTCAGGAAATTCCTCCTTAGTTCCAGGTTGCTTCTCTCCTTGATGAGTTTCCATCCGTCCTGCCTTGAGTTGCTTTGGAGAATAGGCGGGCCCCCCACACCCCCTTTCTCTGGGGCAGCCCCTTAGATCGATGCTGTCCTTGATGCTGTCCACCGGTGACCGGCTAGCGCTGCCCCTCACATCCTCCTCCGTCTCTGGGGGGCCCTTGGAGACAGAGGCTTTACGCCACTCCTGATAAGAGTTTTATTAGCGGGATAAACGAGCTGTCATCTGGAAATTTATTTCCAGCGGGGATTTAGTTGCGTTGGGCTAATAGATGGCGGAGATTTGAATTTTAATGGACGATGCCCTTCAGCCTAACGAGGTAATCCGTCTCCTGGGAGGACAGTAGGGACTGGATCCAAAGATAAACAGCTTTCCACACCGACCCACTGAACGAATAGAATAGAATAGAATAGAATAGAATAGAATAGAATAGAATAGAACAGAACAGAATAGAATAGAATAGAATAGAATAGAATAGAATAGAAAATGTGGAATAGAATAGAATAGAATAGAATAGAATAGAATAGAATAGAATAGAATAGAATAGAATAGAATAGAATAGAAAATATGGAATAGAATAGAATAGAATAGAATAGAAAATATGGAATAGAATAGAATAGAATAGAATAGAATATAGAATAGAATAGAATAAGGAATAGAATAGAATAGAATAGAATAGAATAGAATAGAATAGAATAGAATAGAATAGGAATAGAGCTGGAAGGGACCTTGGAGGTCTTCTAGCCCAGCCCCCTGCTCAAGCAAGAGAACCTATACCATCTCAGACAAGTGAATGTCTAGTCTCTTCTTAAAAATTTCCAGTGATGAAGCGCCCATGATTTCTGGTGGCAAGCTGTTCCACTGGTTGATTGTCCTCACCGTTAGGAATTTTCTCCTTAATTCCAGGTTGCTTCTCTCCTTGATCTGTTTCCAACCATTGTTTCTCGTCCTTCCCTCTGGTGCTTTGGAGAATAATCTGACCCCCTCTTCTTTTGGGCAGCCCCTCAGATACTGGAATACTGCTATCATGTCTACCCTGTTTCTTCTTTCCTTTAGACTAGCCAGACCCAAGTCCCGTAGCCATTCTTCGTATGTTTTAGCCTCCAGGCCTTGGATCCTCTTAGTTGCTCTTCTCTGAATTTTTTCCAAACTCTCCACATCTTTTTTGTGATATGGTGAACAAAACTGGCTGCGGTATTCCAGGTGTGGCCTCACTAAGGTTTTATAAAGCGGTACTAATACTTCTCGTGATCTTGATTCTATGCCTCTGTTTGTACAACCCAGGATTGTGTTAGCTTTTTTGGCTGCTGCTGCTGCTGCACACGGCTGGCTCATGGTCAAGCGATCGTCCACCGGGACTCCAAGGTCCCTCTCACAATCTGTGGGATCGTGAAGTGAACCCCTCTGCCCACCTTGACTTGGCTTGTCGGAAGCCAGCTAGGAAAGCCACCGGTGGAAATCATCTGATGCTGCAACCATTATCAATGCACGCCAGTTTTGCCAAACGCCTCAATTTTGAAAACACAATTTTAGGGGTTGCTTTGACACTCCTAAGTCCCAGGACTGCTCTTACATCCTTTTATTCCCCCCCACCAATGCTGTTATAACTTTGAACGATTGCTAAATAAATAGTCGTTAAGTCAAGGACTACATATCCTAGGCTTTCTCTATCATTGTCCCCCCTTCTCTGGACCCTGAGATCGAGAAGGGACCCCCAGCCTGGTCATCAAGCCCCCCCCCCGCCCCAAAAGCTGCTGTTTTAGGCAGCTCAAGGATTGTTCAACTCTCTCCCCATGGGGAACATCACCGTGACAGCTGGACGCCTCACTTTCTAATCTTATTATCCTTTTGGACTAATTGCTGCAGAGCCAGGCGTGACCGTGTTGGCATTTAAGCCCAGCGAGTCTGTCAATCAATCAATCAATCAATAAAATCGGCAACCTCTGAAAGTCCTGGAGAATATCTCTCGTTTGGGGACCGGCTCTAGGAACCAATGGCAGGGGCCAAGTCCCACCGCTGCAACTGGTGGAAATGAAGTGGGGAGGGGGGGGTGTCAGAGGCAGGAAGTGACCTTAGGTTAACAGAAAGTTAGTGTTGGATGAGCCCTGAGCCCCCCACCCCACCCCACTGGACATGAGATGGCTCAGAAGACCCACGAAGGCTTACTCACAAGAAAGATATATATTGGTTTGGAGAAGATGGATAGATTATATTGAGAATAAATATGGAACTAAAAAGTTTCATTTGGTTTTTGAGTAAATTTGAGATTGTTAATGTAGTATATTTTATTAAAATTAAATAATTAGTAATAATGATGTTTAATATGTTAGTTTAGGAGAGAGCTAAAGGAAGTTATAGAATTGTTAACTTAAGGATAATATAATTTAAGACAGAGTATAATTATTTATTTATTTATTTATTTATTAAATTTATATCCCGCCCTTCTCCTTGCGGACTCAGGGCGGCTGACAATCGATTAAAAATACACAAATGACAATTACAAGATTAAAATTAATTAAAAGGAAATATTTAAATATAGTCTAATTAAAATATAATTAAAACCCCCTCTAAAAATTGCCCTAGGCCAGTCCTGCAAGCTGGAATAACCAAGTCTTNGGCGTCCCGGTCCAGAAAAGGTCGCAACTGGTGAATCAGACGAACCTGATAAAACGCCCCCCTGGTCACGGCCGCCAACTGATCATCCAGTGTCAGCCGTGGATCCAGGAGGACACCCAAGTTGCGTACCCGATCCGAGGGAGCCAATGTTTCGCCCCCTATAGTCAGCGATGGAATCAGCTGACTATGCCGAGGCGCCAGTAGCCACAGCCACTCGGTCTTGGATGGGTTGAGCCTGAGTCTGTTCCTCCCCATCCAGACCCTCACGGCCTCCAGACATCGGGTCATCACGTATTGTAAACCCTGTGTGTAGCTCTGGGAAGTCGGGGGGGGAGGGAGGGCGGTGGGGAAGGGCAGGGTTTGAGGGAGGTGGGGAGTTATATTGTAAAACTTTTAAAAATTTTCAATAAAAAAAAAAAAAAGAAGACCCACGAAGGCTTACAAAAGTCTCCAGCACTTAGAATTAAAACAGGGGTCTTCAAAACTTGGCCCTTTTATGACTTGTGGACTTCAACTCCCAGAATTCACCACCAAGCATTAGTTTACTCTCTTGTAATCCCTTCCTCTGCAATCTCTCCGCTTTAGTAGGAGGAAAAAAACAACAGCCCAGGCATGGCTGGCTGAGGAATTCTGGGAGTTGAAGTCCACAAGTCATAAAAGGGCCAAGTTTGAAGACCCCTGAATTAAAACAAGTAAGGGTCTACATTTAGGCCAGAAAAACCAAATGTACAGGTATAGTTTAGGGGGTCCCTTGCTCAATAGTAGCAACTGTGAGAGGGATCTCGGAGTCCTAATAACATAAGTCGCTCTAAGAGTTGGAAGGGACCTTGGAGGTCTTCTAGTCCAACCCCCTGCTCAGGCAGGAGACCCTATACCAGGGGTGCTCAAACTTGGCCACTTTAAGACTTGTGGACTTCAACTCCCAGAATTCCTATTCTATTCTATTCTATTCTATTCTATTCTATTCTATTCTATTCTATTCTATTCTATTCTATTCTATTCTATTCTATTCTATTCTATAGTATAGGGGGTACCTTGCTCAATAGTAGTAACTGTGAGAGGGATCTCAGAGTCCTAGTGGACGATCCCTTAAACAGGAGCCAGCCGTGTGCTGCAGCTGCCCAAAAAAGCCAACAAAGTGCTGGGCTGCATTAACAGAGGGAGAGAATCAAGATCACGTGAAGAGTTGATACCACTTTACAAGGCCTTGGTAAGGCCACACCTGGAATACGGCATCCAGTTTTGGTCACCAGGATGTAAAAAAGACGCTGAGACTCTAGAAAGAGTCCAGAGAAGAGCAACAAAGAGGATCAGGGGACTGGAGGCTAAAATATTATAAGGAACGGTTGCTGGAATTGGGGATGTCTGTTTTTTCCCCCCAATTTTTCCAGGTTTTTTTTTCCCCAGCCCTTCCCATCTCTACAGCTTTCCAAAGCTGTTTGAAAAAAAAAATGGGAAAAATACCTGTTTCCCCCCCCAATTTTTCCAGTTTTTCCCCCCCCCAGCCCTTCCCATCTCTACACCCCTCCCTCCATCTTGCACACGCTGCCCCCCAGGTGGCTGATGGGGGTGATGGACCCCTCCCACGCCAAAGTCCTGCCGGGACCACCGGAGTCCTGTCCACTCACCTTGTACCAGCGGACCTGGGGCTCAAGGCCGGCCGGAAGGAAGCTCCCCAACTCCGGGCAGGTGAGGTTCTGCTTGACCGTGTCGAAGTACATGAGCACCACTTCCGGCTTGACCGCTTGGCTGAGGCAGGAGCCGGGGTCTTTGCTGACCACCTCCAGGGGGACGGCGATTTTGCTGCAGTAGCTGGCGTTCCTGCGAGGAAAAGGGAAGACACCCCCCCAAAGGCCAAAGAGACACGATGGTAACAGTTCCAGGCCAAGTGGAAGACTGCAAAATAGCACCCTGGGAAGCCTGCGGAACTCCAGGCCACAAGAACCCGCCGAGGGAAACGAGCAGAAAGGGGTTTACAAGATGCTACGTTTTGGAGGGGGGGGGCAGACTGACAAACACCCACCCACACATCAACGCACGTTAGTCCCTTTCAAAGTGAGACCCCCCTTCTACCGGGTGAGAGAAAAGGACGGGAAATAGGAAGCCCACCAAATTTAACGCAGGGACGAAGAAAACGAAGCCAGGAACGGATTTAAACTTCAACCGGCACCCCCTCGCTCCCTTTATCTCCCTTTCTCTCCCTCCGCACGACAGGGGCTCCTCAACGTACGGCAAATTCGTTCAGTGACCGTTTCGAAGTCACGGCAGAAGTGATTTACGGCCAGTCCTCGCTCTTACGACCGTCGCAGCGCTCCTGCAGTCCACCCGATCAAAAATTCGGATGCTTGGCAAAATTGGCATCTAATTTAGGACGGCGGCGGCGGCCTGGAGTCACGTGATCCCCTGTGGCGAGCTTCTGACAAGCGAAGTCAATGGAGGGGGGCGAAGCTGGATTCGCTTAACGACCGCATGATTCAGTTAACCGCTGCGGCGATTTGCTTAACGACCGTGGGAGGAAAGTCCCCAAAAGGACGCGACTCACTTAAGAACTGCCTTGCTTAGCAACAGAAATTTCCCTGTCCCAGGGGCTCACGTGATCTGCATAGTAACGGTCACTAAACGGTCACTAAACGAACTGTCGTAAGTAGAGGACTTCCTGGATTACACTATAAGCCTCCCAATATCCCTCACGCCAGGGCAATGGATGGCTTACAAACTGAATGAATGAATGAATGAATGAATAAATGGATGCATGAATGAATGAATAAATGAATAGATGGATGGATGGATGGATGGATGGATGAATGAATGAATGAATGAATGAATGAATAATGAATGAATAAATGAATGAATAAATAAATAAATACATAATAACCCATTCACAAGCATTCCTCTTACATTTTACATTTCCTGGATTACACTATAAGCCTCCCAATATCCCTCACGCCAGGGCAATGGATAGCTTACAAACTGAATGAATGAATGAATGAATGAATGAATGAATGAATGAATGAATGAATAAATAAATAAATAAATAAATGGATGCATGAATGAATGAATGGATGGATGGATGAATGGATGGATGAATGAATAAATAAATAAATGAATGTATAAATGAATGAATGAATGAATGAATGAATGTATAAATGAATGAATGAATAAATGAATGAAATGAAATGAATAAATGAATGAATGAATGAATGAATAAATAAATAAATAAATACATACATACATACATACATAAATAATGACCCATTCACAAGCATTCCTTACATTTTATCCAAAAAAAGGGGACATCACACAGCCTTGAACGGTTAATAAAGAACGGTTGCAGGAATTGGGTCTACTTTAATGTCTAGTTTAATGAAAAGAAGGATTGGGGGGGGGGGGGACACAGCATAGCAGCCTTCCAATATTTTGAGGGGCTGCCACAAAGAAGAGGGGGGGTGTCAATTTATTTTTCAAAGCCCCTGAAGGGCAGGACGAGAAGCCACGGATGGAAACTCATCAAGGAGAGAAGCAACTTGGAACTAAGGAGGAATTTCCTAACAGGGAAGAACAATTAACCAGTGGAACTCCTTGCCTCCAGAAGTTGTGGGTGCTCCATCCCTGGAGGTTTTTTTTTTTTAAAGAAAAGTCATCTGACTGGGATGGTATATAAGATCTCCTGCTTGAGCAGGGGGTTGGACTAGATGACCTCCAAGGTCCCTTCCAACTCTGTTATTCTATTCTTCAAGCCAAATGGAGTCAAGAACAATGCATCAGTGCTTGCCTCAAAAAGTTGTAGGTGCTCCATCTCTGGAGGCTTTTAAGAAGAGACTGGACAGCCATTTGACTGGGATGGAATACGGTCTTCTGCTTGAGCAGGGGGTTGGACTAGAAGACCTCCAAGGTCCCTTCTAGCCCATAGGATTCAGCCATCTTAAAACATGTTGGCTGGGGAATTCTAGGGGTTACGTCAGAGGGGGATCCAACCTGGAACTAAGGAGAAACTTCCTGACAGGGAGGACAATTAACCAGTGGAACTCCTTGCCTCCAGAAATTGTGGGATGCTCCATCACTGGTGGTTTTCAAGAAGAGATTGGACAACCAATCGTCCACAATGGAATAGGTTCTCCTGTTTGAGCAGGGGGCTGGACTAGAAGACCTCTAAGGTCCCTTCCAACTCTGCTTGGTGTCAAATCATTGGCAGTTCATTTTCAGGTCTGCTTCCACACCCCCCCCCCCCCCTTCTTCTAGACTTGTTGGCATCTGCAATCAAATCCCAAATTTCCCATCGTTCCAACCGAGGAATGTTACACCTAGGACGCTTCCCATCGTGGTGGCACAGACACAGCCTTAAATAAATCACGCAGCCCCTCCCAATAAGCCACCCCCCTCCCCATTTTATTATTTACTCCATTCCACCATCTAACGTGCAGTATTTCTTTCAATCTTCTCGCCGCCTTTATGACTTCCTTTTAATCAATGTGTGTGTTTTTTTCCTGGGCACTCAAATTTATTGCATTCATTTCAATTCCACTCTTTGACTATTCATTTCCATATAAATATTCCTTCCAGCTGTTTCCTCACAACGGTTCACTCCCTGGCGACGTATCCTGTCTTGGATTTCTCCTTCTTTCTGCTGTGTTGGAGACTCTGGCCATCACCCCTTTCGCTCCCTTTCTAAACCGGTTTGACTCCCCTTTGCATTGTCTCTGCTTATAAAACCCACCCAGCTCAGAGAGCACCAAGGACCCCACAGTCGTCGTCCTCCTCCTCCTCCTCCTCCTCCTCCCCCCAAACCTATTTTCCTTCTAGCACTGATGGTGTTCCCTAGCTGGGTCATGAAACGTCTGCAAGGAAACAGCCAAGTTCAGAGACCACTCAGGACCCCAAAACTCTCCTCCTCCTCCCCCCTCTCTCCTCTTCCTCCTGCCCCCCACTTGGAAACCTACTTCCTCATAACACTGATGATGTTACCAAGTTGGGTCATGAAATGTCTGCAAGAAAACCACCCAGCTCAGAGAGCAACAAGGACCCCACAGTCCTTCCTTCCTTCCTTCCTTCCTTCCTTCCTTCCTTTTCTTTTCTTTCTCTTCTTCTCCTCCTCCTCTTCCTCCTCCTCTCCGCAAGCCCCCCCTCCCTTCTAGCACTGATGACGTTACCTAGCTGGGTCATGAAACGTCTGCAAGAAAACCACCCAGCTCAGAGAGCACCCAGGACCGCCCAATCCTTTTTCTTTCTTTCTTTCTTTCTTTCTTTCTTTCTTTCTTTCTTTCTTTCTTTCTTTCTTTCTTTCTTTCTTTCTTT